ATGCTGGTTTCAACCGTTGACTCAAAATGACCGTTGACTCAAAAATCAAAATTATTGCACTTTCAAAGGTAAAGAAAGAAAAGTCCCGTAAGTGTTAAGAAATGGGAACTTTTATACGTTACTGATGGGAGTGGAAATTAGTTCAATTACTTCAGACAGCAAATTGGCAATACCTAGTAAAGATACACACCCTACAAAAAAGCAATTTTATTTCCAAATGTTTATTCTAGAGAAAATCTCACACACTACGAAGGAGACATGTACAAAGACAGTCCTTGCACTCTTTCATTTATTTATTCAGTTACTCAGCAAGTATTTATTAAGCACATACTGTGTCTCACATAGCAGAAGACAAAACAAAAATCCTGCCTGCAAAGGGCTTACATTCCAGAGGAAAAAGACATATAATGAGCAAAATAAATAAGGAAACATATTGCAGGTAAACTGATGATAAGGGCTGTGGAAAAAAATAAGAGTAAAAAAGAATAGGAAGTGTCGGGGAGGAGGTTAAAAATTTAAATAGGCTGTACAGCGATGGCCTCACTGAGAATGTCACAATTAGAGTTACCGATTTAATAAATACAAATATAAGATTCCTACATAAATTTTAGATAATCAGTGGATTTTTTTGTTAGGGTAAGTATAGCCCATTTAGTACTTCGGGTATACTTGTACTTCACATGAACTTGATCTGAAATTCAAATGTAACTGCATGTCCTGTCTTTTCTCTGGCAATGCTACTGATAACCGAGAAAAAACATGGGAAGAAGAGGGAGCAAATTAAGTGGACATGTTGAGAAGGTCATCAAATGAATGAATTCCTGGAAGAGGAGCTCAGCAGGCAGAGGAACCGCTAGGAGCAAAGACCCTGGCTGTTTGCAAACAGTGAACACTTAGACGTAACTTGTCCCTCAGCAGGAGAACATAGACTTATCCTGTGGTATATTTACACCACGGAATCCAGTAAATGGATGAAATCCAAAAACACTCATATTGATAAAACCCAAAAACACGATGTTGAACGGAAAATAAGTCGAGAAAAGATAAATCTGTTCTGACTGCATTTCTGTCAGGTTGAAAAACACACAAAACAGTGTACACCACTGATGCTATATTCATACGCCAAGGACAAAAGCAAATAGGGAATGCTAGAGACCTACTTTAGGAGACTGTCAACTTCTGGGGAGGGAAGGAAAAAGGGGAAGAGGCATGGCTTTAGCATTCTCTCTCTCCCTCTCTCTCTCTTGCCTTTCAATAAGCGAATGAGGTAAAGTGTTTAACCTTAATGGTAGTTATATAGCAGTCTAATATATTATCTGTGCTTTTTTTTTTTTTGAGATGGAGTTTCACTCTTCTTGCCCAGGCTGGACTGCAGTGGTGCGATCTTGGCTCACTGCAGCCTCTGCCTCCAGGGTTCAAGCTATTCTCCTGCCTTAGCCCCCTGAGTAGCTGGGATTACAGGCACATGCCACCACGCCTGGTTAATTTTGTATTGTTAGTAGAGACGGGGTTTTACCCTGTTGGCCAGGCTGGTCTCCAACTCCTCACCTCAGGTGATCCGCCTGCCTCAGCCTGCCTAAGTGCTGAGATTACAGGCGTGAGTCACTGCACCTGACTTATCTGTGCTTTTTTTTAATGACTTCAAAATTTAAAAACCCAGAATTTTAGGTACTTTTGTGTTATGAGGAACTCACTACAGTAGGAAGCAACTTATGAGTGTGTAAATATTTGATCTAGTAGCAATTTTCCACTGATCCTGGCAGGTGACAGCTCTCAGTGAACAGCACTCATAACCTAAAGTGAGAAGTTGTCTATATTCATTGTGAATGTCCCTCGGAGTCACCAGGAGCCACTGGGCAGGCCAGGAACTTACTGCCTGTTTCCTCATCTGTCAGATGGAGGTGTTAACACAAGCTTTCAACCCTCAATAAATAAGACAGCAGCCACATAGTGCCTGTAAGTATTGTAAGGATGAGTGGCTGTGGCAGTTCATTTTGTCTGATCTGGAATCCGCCGTGGGTTTCCCTTTGAACTGAACATTGCAACTTTCTAGGTATAGACTTTTGGCAGTTACTTAATGTTCCTGAGCCTCAGTATCTGGATCTATACAATGGAAATTAACAAGACCTACTGTGCAGTCATGCTGAAAAATTATAGACTATGTGCATAATATTCACAGCACCGTTCAACAAATAATAGATATTATTATTCTTACTTTTAGTCTTATTATTAGCTGATCATAGTTTAGGTTATAACCATTTCCAAAAGAATTTCCTTTGTAAGAACACACTTAGACAACTCAGACTCGTTTTCTATTTCTTTCTACAGACTACCTTCTGATGTAAAATAGAATTTTAGTCCTAACTCCAAAAAAAATGGGAAGAAGCGGGCTCTCCATCACTTTTCGGCAGTGTTGTCACTAACTTACTGAGTGACATAGGGCTGCAAGGGCCTGAGAAGGTAGAAGGAACCAGAAGTTGACCTATGCGCATGGATAATACTGTGCCACACAGTTGAGGATGAGACACAGCAACACCTCAGGGGTCAATGCTGAAGTTCAGAGCAAGCACCTTTAGATGTGACTGACAGACATTCCCATGGGAAGGCAAACAGTGCACCCTCAATTGCTGAAAGGTTGTGGGCTGTTTAAATGCATTTGAATTCACTCCTAAGTTATTCACGCATGAGCAGGGTGAGCATCTCTGCAAGGATCGTATACTTGGTGCACTCGGAGGACAGGGATGGAGTTGGAATGTAGGGCACAATTATTTAGGACAAGACTGTTTCCTATGATTAACTTAAAAGACGTAATTCACCCGGGGTCTCATTAAAGCTCACTGCGGTTACCTATGAGGCTTAAACCAAGGATTGACGTCTAACACAGTGGAGAAGACAGTATTGTATACAGACAAAAGCTGAGAGATTTCACACCCTTAGTAGATGCTGATAATGGAAATAATACCATAGCATATATTTTATTTAACATGTACTCTGTGCCAAAAACTCCCTCTTTATACATTACACAATGCAATCCTCATAGCATGCCTGTGAGTATGGAACTGAGATGAAGAAAAGTTAACAACTCATTAGCCTAAGATTACACCACTAGTAAGCTGTTGGTCGGTAGTTCAGACCTCAGGAGTCGGCTACCATAGCCTGACTGCTGACCACTGTGTTATTGCACCCCTGTGTCTTTGGACAGGAAAGTGGATTAAACACCAGTTTCAGCCTGCTATGTAGACAGATAAAAAAGGCCCTTCTGGAAGATTCAGGCTGACCTGTTCAAAGTCACACAGGGAGCAGGAGCAGAATCAGAGATGTGACTGTGATTGCCATGAGGGTTACGTTGAAAATCAACAGAATCCATAAGTAGCTGCATTCTAATACACACCAAGAAGGATGTCGGGGTCACAGACTGGGGGGCTGCAGTGACTCAGCCTATGCCCCACCATGGGGCTCGGCCCTGTTGACCTGGAACATCTCCAAGTGTCTGCAGAGCTGTGCTGGAGGGCCGTGATTCTGATTTCAAGGGGTAGCAGAAATGTTCTGTGGCTGGACATGATTTTTGGTGCTTAAACTTCCAATTCTTTCCTCAGGGTTCCCCTCCGCTTTACCAGAAACCAGTCTGAGACTCTTCCCACTGCAAGCCCTTTATCAACCCATGCCTCCTTTTGCTCAAAATTAAACCATGATGGAAAAAACGGAATGTACTTTGGTGGTCTTAAAAATTGACTTGGATTCAAATCTGCCTCCTTCTAAGTATAGACTTTTGGCAAGTTACTTAGTGTTTCTGAGCCTCGATTTCTGAATCTATACAATGGTAATTAACAAGACCTACTGTACGGTGTTGCTGCAAAGATTACAGATAATGCATGTAATATACACAGCACCACTGAACAAGTAATAGATATTATTATTCTTATCACTGTTATTATTAGCCGATCATATTAACAGTTTAGGTTATAACCATTTCCAAGGGAATTTCCTTTGTAAAGAGCACAAGAGCCTTTCTCTGAAAATTTGAAAGGTACTTTCCTTTCTCTTCACTGCGTATTTCCTCTTCTGCTGAGAACTTGATTTCACTTTTGAGAAAAAAATCTGTGCCTACCTTCCCAAAACCACACAAAGAAGTTGAAAGTATATAAACAAAGGCAGAACCTTAGATCTCTAAGAGCCAACATGAAAACAATTCAGAGTTTATGAAAGCGAGACTAAGGAGAGATGGAAGCATGTTTATTTCAAGATCTGATAGAAACTAGACCTGCTCTATTATTAAGACCTTTTATTAGGCCCCCTCAAAAGCTTTCAGGAGTCTTCAAAATGCATTGCAGGTATCCCCAAAAAAGTGGGCTTTGGTGTTGGGGCCGGTGTTGGGGCCAGTGTTGCGACTGGTTCCTGTTCATTTATAAGAAAAAGCCGTCACAGTTCCAGACTTTAAGGAAGGCTGCCTTCCTTAAAGCAGTTTTCGGGAGTTGCTTATTAACACTGGTCAAATGCTGTTTGTTTTGTTTTGTTTTGTTTTGTTTTTTGATACAGAGTCTCGCTCTGTCACCCAGGCTGGAGTGCAGTGGCACGATCTCGGCTCACTGCAACCTCTGCCTCCCGGGTTCAAGTGATTCTCCTGCCTCAGCCTCCTGAGTAGCTGGGATTGTAGGCATCCACCACCACGCCAGCTAATTTTTGTGTTTTTCAGTAGAGACGGGGTTTCGCCATGTTGGCCAGGTTGGTCTCAAACTCCTGACCTCAGGTGATCCTCCTGCCTCGGCCTCCCAGAGTGCTGGGATTACAAATGCTGCTTTCTGCCATCACTGACTCCCCTGCTTTTTATTAGCAGGATGGATTTAACTATAAAAAATATATTGGATTATGATCATAATGCTTGGCTAAAAGAAAGTGATAAAGTGAAATTAAATTCTGTACACCGCGTACAGGTGAACACATTTTGAGGATCTGGAATACAATAAAATTATTAAAACAAAAAGCACTGCTGTGATGCCTACCTTTGAAGAATTCTTGACGGAGAGCAGTATAAAGACATACACAAAGGTGGATGAAAACGTGCCGAGCATAGAGATGTGCCTGGGTTATTTAGGGCACGGGAGAGGGGAACCTCGGGGAAGGCTTCCCGGGGAATGAGGTGTCTGAGCGGAGCTGGAAGAGTGAGTGGGAGTTAACCAGGTGTCAGGGAGGATGGGAGGGTTTTCTGCGCAGATGTACAGCCGTGCCAAAGCAAGAAGGCAAGAAGCACAGGGGCCTGTAGGAGCTTCTCCTTGGCTGGGAGGCGAAACGCCAGCAGGAAATAGTGGTCGGTGAGGCCAGCCAGACAGGCGGGCCCTGTTTTCAACTGGACTGCAGGCAAAAGGGGACAAAGGCCACTTCCGCATCTGTTCACTGTCGTGTCCCAACCCCCACCAGTGCCTGGTGATGAACAAATGCCAGGGAGCTTTGGCGTCACTCTGGGTGTGAGAGATATTTAGATATTTTAGAAGCAGAGCGACATGATTATATTTCACTTTAGATAGGGAGGCAATCAGTTAGGAAGCATTTCCATCAGAATTAAGTTCTTAAAACTGCAATTCTACATCCAAGAATATTCATTCATTCATTTTATTCACATATTAGACAATTTTTTTTTAAGAGACAGGCAGTTGCTCTGTCACCCAGGCTGGCGTGTAGTGGCGTGATCTTATCTCACTCTAGAGTAGTTGGGACCACAGGCACATGTCACTACCACACCTGGCTAATTATTTTTTTCTTTTTTTTTTTTTTAGAGATGAGGATCTTGCTATGTTGCCCAGGCTGGTCTCAAACTCTTGGCCTCAAGTGATCCTCATGCCTCAGCCTCCTGAGTAGCTGAGACTACAGGCATGCATCACAACACCTGGCTAATTTTTATTTTAAAAAATTTTTTGGAGAATTGGAGTCTTGCTATGTTGTCCAGGCTGGTCTCAAACTCCTGGCCTAGAGTGATCCTCCTGCCTTTGCCTTCCAAAGTGCTGGAATTACAGGCATAAGCCACCATGTGAGGACTCAACAAATATCTATTGAATGTTTAGTATGTTCCAAAGACTGTTCTAGGCTCAGAAGATTTAGCAAAAAGCCAAATGGACGTAAATCCCTGCACTCGTGGGAAGGACAGGTAATAAAACAAGCAGCTAAGTAAATAAATTGTACAGTCCGTTAGAAGGCAAAAGAAAGAATGGAGACAAATAAACTAGGGAAGGGATTAGGAACAGGGGGAACAGGAGGTGGGCAGGTGGGAGGAGTTGCTATTTTTAAGAAAGGTGGTTAGAAAAGATCTCACTAATAAGGGTACATCTGAGCAGGGACCTGAAAAGGTGAGAGCTTGATTCCTGCTGGTATCTGGAGGAGGACCTTCCAAGCAGAGGGAAGTGCAAAGGCCCTGGGGCTAGCACAAGCCTGAAGACAACAGGGTGCCCAGAGCAGAGTGTAAAAGCCAAGAGGTAGGAAAATTGTGCTGAGCGTAGCCTCCAATCAGCAGGATCAATATCTTTGGAATCTGTTAAAAATGTAAATTATTACACCCTAACCCAAGCTAAGAATCAGAAACCTGGGTTGGAAATGGGAGTGGGGGTAACACTCAAGAATATTTTTTTTTTTGGAGACTGCATCTCACTCTGTCACCCAGGCTGGAGTGCAGTGGCCTGATCTTGGCTCACTGCAATCTCCGCCTCCTGGGTTCAAGCAGTCCTCCTGCCTCAGCCTCCCAAGTAGCTGGGATTACAAGTGTGTGCCACCACACCCAGCTACTTTTTGTATTTTAGTAAAGATGTGATTTCGCCATGTTGGCCAGGCTGGTCTTGAACTCCTGACCTCAAGTGATCCGACTGCTTCAGTCTCCCAAGGTGCGGGGATTACAGGTGGGAGCCACTGTGCCCGGCCCAGGAATCTATTTTGACTGGTCTTCCAGGGGATTCTCATGTTAGCTTAGTTGACTTTTCTCTCTCTCTCTCTCTCTTTCTCTCTCTCCAGTATTTTGCCTAACCATCAATTTCCATAAGTCTAAATGCCCTCCATGAATAGATATCTCCAACTTTTTTATTTTCCATGCAAAGAGAGCTCTTTAAATTTTAACTTTGTACCCAATCCCATCTCAACAAATAAGCCTAGGTCGGCACAGTGGCTCATGCCTGTGATCCCAACACTTTGGGAGGCCAAGGCATGAGGATCACTTGAGTTCAAGACCAGCCTGGGCCACATAGCAAGACCCCATCTTTACAAAAAAATTTTAAAATAAAAATTAGCCAGGTGTAGTGGTACATGCCTGTAGCCCCAGCTACTCAGGAGGCTGAGATGGGAGGATCCCTTGAGCCCAGGAGTTAAAGGTTACAGTGAGCTATGATCACACCACTGGACTCCAGCCTGGATGACAGTGTGAGACCCTGTCTCTAAAACAAACAAAAAATTAAATCGCCTATCTTCTTATTTAGTGAAATCAGAATCCTAGAAATTTGATAGCCTGAACCATATTATTCTTTATAACACATTATTTGCTATTATAATTTGGAGTAGGCCTGACTTTTATGGGGTGGCAGGAGAAATCATCGCTTCCCAAGTCATCACTGGGGGCCAGTTTCCTGCCCTGTCCCAGCTCTGAGAAACGGACTTGCCTGTTCTCCCTGGGGCCTGGAGGTACTGGGGCTCTTACTTCCTGCTCTGGCCCATCCTTTCAATACAGTCCTGTTGCTCACTTGAGACATTAGCAGATTCATGTCACTTGTACATAAACCTTCACAATAATCGATGTTACAATAGGAAAAGGAATATTTGCTGAAAATCTTTTCCATTCTTTTTTTTTAAAAGATGAAGTCTCGCTCTGTTGCTCAGGCTGGAGTGCAGTGGCATGAACTCAGCTCACTGCAATCTCCGGCTCAAGAGATTCTCCTGCCTCAGCCTCCTGAGTAGCTGGAATTACAGGCACCCGCCACCATGCCCAGCTAATTTTTGTATTTTTTGTAGAGACACGTTTCACCATGTTGGCCAGGCTGGTCTCAAACTCCTGACCTCAGGTTTAAGGCAGATCCACCTGCCTTGGCTTCCCAAAGTGCTGGGATTACAGGCGTGAGCCAGCGCACCCAGCCTCCATTCAATTTTACAAATATTTCTGCCTTAGCTGCTTTTTGCAGTGAAGCAATGGGCCAATAAATAAATTATAATTATTTGTCCTAGGCACGAGAAGGGACGCAATACCACCTAGTACTCGACCACACCTGAGGGTTAAGGAACACACCTGAGGGTTGAGAACACCAGCTCCGGAATCAGACTGCCTGAGTTTGGTAACTGGCAGTGGCCGGCTTCTTGTCTGTTGGATCTGAGATGGCTTATCACACCTCTCCCTGTGTTTCCATTCCCTCACCTATAAATGCGGTTAACAATAGTGCCCATCTCAGAGGGCAAAGACTGAGTTATTATACGTAAAGCACATAATCAGTACCTGGCATTTGGTAAATGCCAACTGAGTTTTAATCTTTCTTATTTTATTTTGTTTTGTTTTATTTTATTTTATTTTATTTTATTTTATTTTATTTTATTTTATTTTTGAGACAGAGTCTTGCTCTGTCACCCAGGCTGGAGTGCAGTGGCGTGATCTCGGCTCACTGAAAGCTCCACCTCCTGGGTTCACGCCATTCTCCTGCATCAGCCTCCCGAGTAGCTGGGACTACAGGCGCCTGCCACCATGCCTGGCTAATTTTTTATTTTTGTAGTTTTAGTAGAGACAGGGTTTCACCATGTTAGCCACGATGGTCTCAATCTCCTGAACTCGTGATCCGCCTGCCTCGCCTCCCAGAGTGCTGGGATTACAGGCATAAGCCACTGCACCTGGCCAACCTTTCTTATTAATAGGTATTTCTCTTCTCTTTCTTTCTTTCTTTTTTTTTTTTTTTTTTTTTTCGAGACAGGGTCTCACTGTGTCGCTTAGGCTGGGGTGCAGTGGCGTGATCTCGGCTCACTGCAACCTCTGCCTCCCATGCTCAAGTGATTCTCCTGCCTCAGCCTCCTTAGTAACAGGGATTACAGGCACCTGCCACCATGCCTGGCTAATTTTTGTATTTTTAGTAGAGATGGGGTTTCACCATGTTGGCCAGGCTGGTCTCAAACTCCTGACCTCAGTTGATCCACCCACCTCAACCTCCCAAAGTCCTGGGATTACACAGGCATGAGCCACAACTCCTGGCCCTATTCTTATTAGTACATATTTCTGAGTAAATAAACAGAAAAGTCTTGGGAGAGAGCTAGCCAAAGGTACTCGAGTGTACTTAGAATGTTAACCAATATTGCACCATGGTACTCGCTGGAATGCAGGTACTCCCAGGGGCTCCAAGGTACATTAATTAGCTTGTGATGTTTTGATTGACTCTTGTCTGTGTTTCAGAAAGCCTTGCTCTGGGTTTTGGTTGCCATGAGTTGCAGTCTAAGTCATGATTCCCAGCCAGGAAAAATAATAAACAACTATCTAATGTAATGAGAACCCAACTAAACTATAAAACTTAGTTATTTCAAAATGACAGAGCTGTTTGTGAAAAAATAACAAAATAAAACACAGCCATTGGATAATTTCTTCCTACACCCCGAGGACGCTGGTTTTAAGTACTTGATCGCAGGCCATGCATGAGAGGAGATAGAATTATTCCTTTTTGAATGAAGTGGTTCAGAATTGGCCTCTAATTGACCTGGGAGTAGGAAGCAAAGAGGATTGGGTATAAAAATATAATGGGGTTCACTTGAAACCAGCCAGGCACTTTAACCTGCCCCAGAGGGGTCTCTCTCCATTTAGAAAAAGTTGCCAGTGTTATTCACTAGAAATACAGACAATGGAATGTAAACCTATGTCCATATGGTGCAGGTTAGGAACTGATGGAACGACACAGGAGACTATCAATTCCCAGGTGTCTTCCGCTGTAACTGGCAACTCCATCCACAGTTAATAGTGAATACAAAGTAATTCTGCGGCCATGCTGCCTGCGGCCGCCAGTGTATTTCATGTGTACAGCCT